AGAGAGAGAGAGAGAGAGAGAGAGAGAGAGAAAGAGAGAGAGAGAGAGAGCGCCTGGGGTGACCACGGAGTCCAAAAGAAGATCCTGTGGAGCTGGAGTTGTAGGCAGATGTGAGCTGTCCAACCAAAGTGCTGCAAACCAAACTTGGGTCTTCTGCCGGAGCAGCAGGGCTCTTAAACCACTGAACCATTTCTCCAGCCTAAAAAAAAAATGACTTTTGTTTCCTGTACATGAATGTTTGTCTGCATCATGTATGAATGTACACCATATGAATGTAGCTGGAAGGTTTCTCCGGTCCTGCCCAGCCCCGCAGTCCCTCAGCCACTTATAAATTAATCATTCAGAGGCTTAATATTATTTACATACTGTATGGTCTATGGCAGGCCTCTTGCTGGCTAGCTCTTATATCTTAAATTAACCCATTCCTATTAATCTATTGTCACGTGCTCTGTGGCTTTACCTGCATCCCATTACATGTTGCTTCTTGGGCAGCCAGCTCACGTCTCTCTGGCCTCGGCCTTTTTTCTTTCTGTCTTTCTCTTTGGATTTCCCACCTGACTCTAAGCTGCCCTGCCATAGGCCAAAGCAGCTTATTTATTAACCAATGGGAACATCATATATTCACAGCGTACAGAAAGACATCCCCCAGAAATATGCACGCTTGGTGACAGAGGAGGCCTGAAGGAGGTCCCGGTACAGAGCCATCTCCAGGTCCCTAAACCTACTTTTCCAGAAGTTTGTATAGTGGAAAGCCTTAGGAGACAGAGGTACTATGACCTTATGGAGCTCACGGCTAAAATATCTCCTTCAAGAGCAAGCTTAGGCCGGGCGCACGCCTTTAATGCCAGCACTCGGGAGGCAGAGGCAGGTGGATCGCTGTGAGTTTGAGGCCAGCCTGGGCTACAGAGTGAGTTCCAGGAAAGGCACAAAGCTACACAGAGAAACCCTGTCTTGAAAAACCAATAATAATAATAATAATAATAATAATAATAATAATAATAATAATAAAGAGCAGGGTCAGGCCATTTTGCAGCCTCTTCTAAAACACCGCTATTTCCTGGCACTAGGGAGATGGCCCAGTGGTTAAGAGATCTTTTTGCTTTTGAAGAGGGCCTGGGGTTCAGTTCCAAGTATCCCCAGAGTGGCTCACAATCATCCATGTAACTTTAGTTTCAGGGGATCAGATGCCACCTTCTGACCTCTGCAGGCACACACGTGGCACAGATATACATTCAGGCAAATGCTCAAACATGTAAAATAAATCCATCTAAAAAATAATTAAAATTCTGCTATTTCCTGTGCTTGGGTTCCTGAGCTGTGACACACACCCACTGCGTGTGCAACGTTTACCTGGGCTCACAATCCTGCTGCCTTCAGGGGCTTTAGGAAGAAAGGATCAGTATAAACCCACATCTCATGCTGCTTGCCACACTGTAAATAATAAAGCCCTGTCTTACCCGATATTCTTGTGTCTTCTTCCAGCATTCACGAAACGACAGCAGGCCACCTTGTCTTACAAGCAGGATAAAGATCTTGGAACCTTCCTTGTTCTGTTTTGTGGAGCAGTGTTGAGACAAACAAACAAACAAACAAACAGCATCTGGCAGTATCTTTGCTGTGTAAATCTCCCCACCTGCCCAAGTGGCCGGACTTGCCGTCAGTGAAGCAGTGGAGAGGACGGCGTGGGAAAGAATGCAATGTGGCCCTAGCAGGCTTGAGTCCAAATCTGGGCTCTGGCTCTTCTTAGCTGGGTAACCCTGAGCACATGATTTGGGCTGCCACCTTGCTTCCTCTTTCATCTTACGGGGTTCTTGCAAGGATGGGGTGAAAACATGTTAAACAGAACTGTGCCTTCCACATACTGAGAATGGGCAAAAGGGTGTATGTAATTACAACTAATGAAAAAAGAGGCCATGAATTTGAAAGAGAGCAGGGAAGGGTATATGGGAAGCTTTGAAGGGAGGAAAGAGAAGGAGGAAATGATGTGACTATATTATAATCTCAAAAAAAAAAAAAAAAGGACTGCAAAGGCCATTTTGTCCATTACTAGTAAGACTCATCTTTCTCTAACCAACAGGGTGACCTGGTAACATTCCAGCAATGCCAGCTTCATTCAGCAAAGACAAACAACTATATTGCTGTCAGTTGGGAGGTAAAAAAATGGGAATAGGACCCTGGATAGAGACAAACTGTCACCACAATGGGGATCACTGGAGGGAAATAAACAGATGCTACTAACTGGTAATTGGAAACAAAGATGAATTTATTTGCCTGTCTGAAAAGAAAGGACACATCTCTCAAGCAAAACATTCTGCTTATTGTACCTGAATGGACCAGTTACAGAGCAAAGGGAGGAAGGACAGGAAATCCGGCAGCACGCTGAGGTCAGATCTGCTTGGCTCTGAGGGCTGAGCTTGAGTTCTTTGCAACTGCTCACTGGACCAGTTCAGTTCTTCCACGTGCAGGCTCCACTCCCAGCCATGTCCAGGATGCTCCAGTCAGCTCTCTGTCCCTCTGGTGGCTTGAAGGAGGCCAAATCTTTGTTGAAGAGCATCACCAGGACCTCGGTGTAGGTTTATGCCGGTAACATCACGGTTACTGTCCCTTCGCTAATCTCTTTCAGAACCGACAGGCCGAGTTTCCACTTCTTAGGCAAAAGGTAAATAAACATACATGTGCACTTACAAAGGCAAATGCCATGTGGGCAGATTATCCTTAAGAGTTACTAAAGAACAAAACAGAACCAGTAAAATGACACCTGTACATGAATGTGGACAGCACCACTACCCACAGTAGGCAAAAGGTGGAAACAGCCCAAACATGGATAAACAGAGCGGGCCATGTACAGACAAGGCAATGTGACTGTGCCCAACAGGCTCCAAGTGCTGGTACATAGTACAAGATGAATAAACATCAAACACGTGCCAGGCAAAAATGTAGACACAAAATTACAAAACACTGTACAATCCACCTAATATCAACACCGACAACTATGAAATCCATAGGGCCACAGCGCAAACTGGCGGTGGCCAGTGGCTGAGGGCAGGGGAGGATGCTTTCCTCCGCAGTGCTTAATAGTCCAGGACTTCTTTGGAAGTGCTGAGCATGTCTCGGAAACAGACAGAGGGGCTGGCCGCACGGCACCGCCACCGTCATAAGTGCTAACGTGTTTAGGGGAACGTCACTGTTCCCTTGGCACAGGTAAACGTTTGTTACAGAACTCATCACTCCTCGCCTCTCTCACAGTTTGGTTGTGAGCCCAGCCTTTACCGGCTGAGCCATCTCTCCAGCCCAACACACCTCGACTCTCAGGGAATAAGGAAAAAGGACAGAACAGTTCAGTCCATTGAAACAAGGAAAGCTGGAATGGGGTGATCTGGCAGGGGGTGTTGAACAACTGATGAGGAATAAACAGAGTCGGGAAGGGCAGAGGAGGAGGGCATCTCACCTAGCAGCCTCAGAAGGCTGTGGGCACTGCAGAAGCAGACCAGAAACCTGAGTTTCCAAGTGCTTATTTCCTTCGTCCAAGTAACCTAGAATGTTCTAAAACATGGAAAGGGCCTCACGAGGAGAGCCACAGCCAGCCATCCCGGATTGCCTCTTCCAGGCCAGTGGCAGGGTCCGGAGGACAGCTGGGGTCTGCCTGAGCACCGAGTGCTGGGAAACCTTCCAAGGGCTGGCCGGTCCTAACCAAATTTGCTACCGACTCGATTGCACAGGGGCGCGTGTCTGGGGGCACTCCATTTCAGTGTGACCACCTTCCTCTGCTCTGGTCTCCTTTGGTATTAGTTTTTCACAGTGTACTTGCAGCCACTGCATTTCACACAGGCCTTTTAAACTAAATTCTCCTGAAAGACATTTCTCCTGGTTCACAAGTCCATTCCTTACGTATTTAACACAGGGAAATGATTTTTACAAAGCACCGACCTCCTGACACAAGGCACAACAGGCACGAACCTTGAGGACATCGTGCCAAGTGAAAAGACTGCCTGTTATAATAGCCACCTCATGTTTCCACGCATGTGAGGTACTGGGAGCACGCAGACTCCTGGAAACGTAGTCAAGGGTGGCAGCCAGGGGCGGGGACAGGAAATGGGTGATTTGATGCTTAGCAGTACAGTTTCAACCCCGAAAAAATGAAGTTCTAGAACTATGTTGCACAACATTAGGATTGTACTAATACTGAGCTGTGACCTTAAAACCATTGAAACACCAAAATGTGTGTTTGTTTTTAGTCACCATTTACAAATAAGCCTCTCAATTATTGGTAAACTATTAACTTAAAAGTGTATTATTGCAATAAAAAAAGACATTAAGTTTATTTTATGTGCTTGGGAGTTTTGCCTGCACGTATATATGTATGTGCACCATGTGGGTACCTGGTGCCCATGCAGGTCAGAAGAGGGTGTCAGGTCCCTTGGAACTGGAGTTACAGATGGTTGTGAGTCACCATGTGGGTGCTGAGAACTAAACCAGGTTCCTCTGCGAAAGCGACAAATGTCCTTAATCACTAAGTGTCACCCCAGCTCCTACTTTATTTATATTTGTGCAGGAGGGACACATGAAGAAGCCAGAAGAGTGTGAGATTTTTCTGGAGCTGGAGGTATAGACAGCTGTACGCTGCTTGAAATGAGTGCTGGAAACCAAACTCCAGTCCCTGAAAGGGTAGCAAGTGCTCTTAACCGCTGAACCATCTGTCCAGCCCCATGTTACTGCGGTTTTAATGTTTATCTAGATGACAATCTGGAATTACCGAAGCTAACAAAATTTCGATGTGGATTCACACTGTGACACTACAATAAACATGACTTAATCAAAAGCAAAAAGCAAAACAGCCTCAGTTTTTCAAATCCCTTTCCTGTTCCTATATAAAACTTGGGCATTGAGCTTTTTATTTTCGCATTTCAAACATAAAACGGCCCGTTGGCACGTTCCAAACACCAACAATGAAATAAAAACTGAGAAAGGACTTGGCTCAATGCTGGTATATTTTAACGAGAACTAGACTTAGGACCCGGGGAGGTTGGTGGATCTCCTGGTCCTTTCTCACTGGGTTCCCCAGCTGCACACCCACACCCAGAGGTCTGAGGGGCTGCTCTGGACACACTCACTATGCGGGGTATGATCCTCAGCTGCACGTTCTGGGTCTGACTCTGTCCCTGATGGACCACAGTAGCAGAGAGCTGGAAGCTCTGGGAATGAATATTCTGCCTGTGACCCTGCTGGGTCGAGCCCACCTGACAGACCACAGATGTATGGGTCTGTTGAATCACTCTGGTCCCCCCAGTGTTAGGGCGACCAGTTTGCTCAGTGTTAAGGTGACTGGTTTGCTGAGCTGGCAAGGATGCCGGCTGTTGGTTAGACCCTTGGGAGGAAGCTGGTCGCTGGGGCTGGGGCTGGGGCTGTGGGGGGACAGGGGCCCTGGGTGGCTGATGCTGTTTTGGAATCAATACATATATCTGCTGTGGCTGCCTCTGCTGTGGCTGCCGTGCCTGTCCCTGGGATGGCTTCTGAGGCTCTGGGCGCAAAATGACAGAGCCAGGGGGAAGCTTTACAGTTAAGGGATTTGCTGTATTGTTTATAATGAGCTGCATAGGGGGCTTCACAGGACGCTGTGATGGCCCAGGTGGCTGCTCTCTGGTCGGGAGGCTAGTTTGAGTGTTTCCCTCAGCAGCTGGGGCACTGGCGGGGCTGCCTCGGGCCTGGCTGGAACTACCCACCGAACTGGAGAGGTTTGACAAAGACCTTACCACATGGATCACATTCACCCCAGGGGTGCTGGTGGGGTGCTGGATCTTTGGGTTGTTTCCTGATGACTTAGCATTGGCTGGGGCGGGTGGAGGAAGGGCGCTAACTCTGTCCCCTCCTACAGGTCCACTCTGCTGGACCACAGTGGCTGCCTTAGGAGCAGGGGGGGCGACTGGGCTAGCCTGTGGTCTGAGGGAGCTGACAGATGCGGAGCCCTGTCCTGAGATGGGGGCAAGTGGAACTGGTAGAGGAGTTCTGCTTTCCTTCTCTAAGACTGAGGATGGCACTAAACTGGTTGTGGGCTTCTCCGCCGGGGAGGGCTGAGGAAGACAGACTGAGCTACTAGATCCCTGCGGCATCGTGCCTGGACAGCTGGCTTTGTTCTGGACAGGCTCTTGGCACACATCCAATGTTTTCCTAGGCTCGGTGTTTACCCCAGCCATGAAATCATCTGAATAATCACCCAGGGGCATGGGAGGGAGATACATCTGGCTATCACTTCTGTCCTCTGGAGGGAGAAATATGTCATCAGAGAAAAGTGGATCATTAAGGGATGTCATGAGACTTGAATTCATACCCCATAGCAGATCATCATCCTCATAATCAAACGTACAATCATATTTTACCTCAGAAGCTGCTGAGACAGTTGGTTCTGCCTCGTCAAAGGGCAGAGATGGCATCTCATCAACATATGTCTGCATGTCCATCTCTGAAGGCACAGTCAGTTCACAGAGTCTCGGCTTCCAGGTGTCTGCTTCATCAATCTCCAGGTCAGACGGGTCATCTGGAATTATTTTTGCCTGTTTTTGGAAAGGCGTCATGGTTGTGAGGTCAGGGGGACAGGTACATCCAGATGGCACCTCCTGTTGATCCAGAAAGGGGGATGCATGCCTCTTGAAGTTTTGTTTCATGGGGTCAGTGTTCATCTTCTGGTCATTAAACAGCAGTCTGTTGGTCGTGCAGGTTACAGCAGCAGAGGAATCCAGACACAGCGGCTCTGCTGTAGCTAAGAGCAGTTGGCTCTCAAGCTCAAGTTTTTCTTTCTGGCTCCACTGACGGTTATCACTTGTTGTTATGGACTCTACATCACTCACTAGAGTCTGCATGGTTGGACGTAAGAGAATATGCCGAGTTTGGTAAGCAAGAGAGGGCTCAGTAGATGACGCAGCAGGCTCCGGACCAGGCTCCTCAGGAGGGTAGATGCTAGCGCACTGCCTGAAGTCTCGGATTTCTGCTATGACGCACCCATGGTGAAAAACATTCACAGGAGACTTTTCCAGGACATCAATCAGAAAAGAAGGTAACACTTCAGCATCCAAATATTCCAGCAGTTTCTCTACTTCATAAGGCAACTGAAAGGTCTCTGAAAATGACCCACTTTTGTCCTTGAGCATGAGAGAATAGCCCTGATTTTCGGGGTACAGGTTGACCACTAAGCATGGCAACGCCTCTCTCTTCATCAGCTTCTCTAGCAAGTTGACATTGCTTCGAAGGCCCCCTGCCTCAGGCTCTTTTTCACATTCCTCAACATAAATGTCATACAGTTTCTCCTGAAGAGATTTCTCCCCGTTAGGCTCGGGTCTCGCTGGAGGGGGCTGCTGCTGGACAGACTCAATAATATCATCTGCCCACTCCAAAGCTTCCTGTAAAGTTTGTTCCATCATAAAAGAAAACCGGAGCCCTTTAAAGAAACACAAAACGTGTTGGTGGAGAGGTAGAAATCATGACAGTTCTATTAACTGTCCTGCAAAACTCTCCAACTCTGTATAGGAGCATATGGGCCTGTTTAATAAGGACCCCAAGAAACCTGCCTCCCACTGGTGAGACGGTCACCCCCCCCCCAATTCCTGCATTGTATTCTGGGCGCTTAGGCACCGGCAAAGCCAGTCTAGGTTGCACCATGAGATTCCGATGGAACCGCAAAGACAAGCCAAAGGGACCAAGAGCTACATTAAAATTTTCAAATTTTTTTTTCTTTTTGATTTTTTTGAGACAGGGTTTCTCTGTGCAGCTTTGGTGCCTGTCCTCTTTAGACCAAGCTGGCCTTGAACTCACAGAAATTCGACTGGCTCTGCCTCCCAAGCGCCACCACTGCCCGGCTTTTAATAGCACCCCCCATAACTCCTGGCTTTTAAAAGCACCCATACCTCCTGGCTTTTTTTTTTTTTTTTTTTTT